GGTCAAGTGTAGTGGTGCATACCTCTAATCCCAGTGGCTCAGGAAACTGAGGCAGGAGGATCCGGAGTTCAAAGCCAGCCTCAGCAAAGAGTAAGGTTCTAAACAACTCAATGAGACCCTATCTCTAAATGAAATACAAAATAGGGCTGGGGATGTGGCTGAGTGTCCCTGAGTTCAATCCCTGGTACCCTCCGCCCCTCCCCCCCAAAGTCCTTAATCCTTGGCAAACACTAATTTATCCCAACTCTATAGTTTGGGGGGTTGGGGGGAAGCAGACTGGGAATTTAACCAGGGGGCTCATACTACTGAGAGCTACATCCCCAGCCCTTTTTATTTTTTTATTTTGAGATAAGGTCTCACTAAGTTACTTAGAGCCTCGATAAGTTGCTGAGACTGGCTTTGAACTTGCAATCCTTTTGCTTCAGCCTCTGAGTCGCTGGGATTACAGATGTGTGTCACCATGCCTGGCTTCTTGCATTTTTTCAATAATTCATTCCATTTTGTTGGATTTGTTTATTTCATGGTTTGGTTGTACCAATTTGTTTAGTCACTCACATATTGAAGGGCATTTTGATTGTTTCCAGTTTTGGGCTAGTACAAATAAAGCTGTTTTGAACATTCATGGTACAGTCACTTTGGGAAAGTTTGGCAGTTTAAAGAACTACATATATATCAGGTGCAGTGGTACATGCCTGTAATTCCAGCAGCTCAAGAGGCTGAGACAGGAGCATTGGGAATTCAAAGCCAGCCTTAGCAAAAACAAGGTACTAAGCAACTCAGTAAGATCCTGTCTTTAAATATAATATAAAATAGGACTGGAGATATGACTCAATGGTAAAGTGCCCCTAAGTTCAATTCCCAATACTCTGCCGCAAAAAACACTAAATATGCAACTACCATTATCAGAAGGTACATTCCTAGGCATTTAAAAAAATTTTTTTTAGTTGTAGATGAACACAATATCTTTATTTTATTTATTTATTTTTATGTGGTGAGGAGGATTTAACCCAGTGCCTCACAAGTGCTAGGCAAGCGCTCTACCACTGAGCCATAACCTCATCCCAACCCCCATTTCTAGGCATTTAATCCAGAGAATGAAAACTTATGATCATGCAAAAATCTGTACGTGAAAATTTATAACAGCTTTATATATTGCTCAGCCCTAAAAAGGAATGAACTATTGATACATATAAGTATTGATACACACAATGATGACTCTCCAGAGAATTATACTAAGTAAAAAAAAAAATCCTAAAAGGTTATATTTGTTTGATTGTATGTATTTAATAGTTTTGAAATGCCAAAATTTAGAAATAGTAGATTAATGGTTTTCTAATTGTGATTTTTAAAAAATTTCAGCCATTCTAATAGGTATGTAGTGGTAGTTCATTGTGGTTTTATGTTCAACATCTTATGTGCTTGTCAAATGTCTAATCATGTCCTTTGCCCGTGCTCTAATTGAATTGTTGTTTTTTTTTTTTTTTTTTTAGTGTTAGGTTGGAAAGTTCTTTATGCTAAATATGTGTCCTTGATGGATATGTGGTTTGCAAATATTTTTTCTTCCCTGTCTATAGTTTGTTTTCACTTTCTTAACACGGACTTAAGCTGAGCAAGTGTTTTTAATTTTGATGAGACCCAGTTGATTTCTTTTTCCTTTTATTGATTAATGGCATCTATAAAATGTGTATTTTTTTCCCCAAGTGCTCTCTCATCCCCAACCTGAGGATGATTTTTTTTTTTTTTTAATGAGGGCCTCATGTATGCCAGGCAAGTGTTGTAACACCGAACTGTATGGACCCCAACCTAAAAATTTTTTTCTTTTTCTTTTTAAATTTTGAGGCTTGTTGAGTTGCCCAGGCTGGCCTGGAACTTCTCATCCTCTTCTTTGGTCTCGCAAGATCTGAGATTATAGGAATGTGTCACTGCGCCCAGTGAGGACAGTTTTTTTTTTTAGATGGACACAATACCTTTATTTTATTTATTATTATGTGGTGCCTAGGACTGAACCCAGTGTCTCATATGTGCTAGGTGAGCACTTTACCACTAAGCCACAATCCCAGCCCCAAGTACAGTATTTTTTGTGTGAGTGATTTTTTTTTTTTTTTTAGTGCAGGGGGTAGAACCCAAGGCCTTGTGTATGGTAGGCTAGTACTCTACCTTTGAGTTACAAATTCAGCCCTTATGTATTTTGCCTTAAGACATTCCTGTGTGAATTGGTGGTTCCATTCCAAGTTTTCCAAGGAATCTCCATACTGCTTTCCAGATTGGTTGCACCAATTTGCAGGCCCACCAGCAGTGTATGAATGTGCATTTTTTTCCCCACATCCTCGCCAACACTTATTGTTATTTGTATTCTTAATAGCTGCCATTCTGATTGGAGTGAGATGAAATCACAGTGTAGTTTCAACTTGCATTTCTCTAATTGCTAGAGATGTTGAACATTTTTTCCTATATTTGTTGATTGATTTTATATTCGGAGATGTGTCTGTTCAGTTCCTTGGCCCATGTATTGATTGGGTTATTTGTTTTTTTGGTGTTAAGTTTTTTTAGTTTTTTATATATCCTAGAGATTAGTGCTCTATCTGATGTGCGTGATCCTCAGCCCTTTTTATTTCTTATTTTAAGACAGGATCTTGCTAAATTGCCCAGGTTCACCTCAAACTTGTGATCCTCCTGCCTCAGCCTCCTGAGTAGTTGTAATTACAAGCCTGTGCCAACATACCCTGCTATTTGTCTTTAAAGCTTACTTTCTCTTAGTATTTTCACCAACTCCACCAGAAAGTCACATTCACCTTACACTTTGTTCACCCAGTGTTATGAATGTATTATAGCACTTACTAGAGTGAGCAGTGTATATTGCTGTATTCTACTAGATAATGAGTTCCCAAGTCAGAATCTAAATCCATGGATCTTAATATCTCTAGAACAGTGCATTTGGGCATTTTAGTATTGGCACTTCCCTATTGAAAAGCATAAATATTCATGGCTTATTTGACATGATTTAAAATCATTGTAAATTTATCTATGTGACAAGATAATCACCTCCTTAATGTGAAATTCTCACAGTTCCTACATAATCACCCAGTGTTGTTATACTTTACACGATAGCTCTTCAAAAACAGAATGTTTTTTTCTCTCCTAAATTCTCTCTTATATGAACACAAGTAAAGTTCTCATCTATTCTACTTTCTAGAAAACTCATCTATTATTTAGGAGAGAGAAACATGAAACAACCTGGAGACCATCAGAGCCTTGGTGTTTTTATTTGAAACTTCTTGACCTGTAGAACTCCCAAATGGTAGGGAATTACTTGAAATTTGGCACAAATTTATCAAAGAGAATATATTCCCAGAGCAACACTTTATTTTCCGTATTTTTATTTGTGCATTGTAGTTGTATATAATGGTAGAATTTGTTGTTACATATTTATACATGCATACAGTGTCACAATATAATTTGGCCAATATCATTCCCTAGTATTTCCTCTTCCCCTCCACTCCTCTCTCTTCTTGGTCCCTTTCCTCTTCTCTACTGATTTTCCTTTGATTTTTATGAGTTCTCACCACCTTTCTCATCCTTTTTCCTGTCTGACTTCTATAAAAGAAACAAGCCCCTTAATCTTTGAATTTGGCTTATTCTGCTTGACATAATGTTCTCAAGTTCCATCCATTTTCCTGCAAATGACATAATTGTATTTTTCTTTATGGCTGAATAAAATTCTATTGTGTGTGTGTGTGTGTGTGTTTGTGTATACATATATACATAGCACATTTTATTTATCCATTCATCCATTTATGGACACCTAAGCTGGTTCCATAGTTTGGCTATTTTGAACTGTGCTGGTATAAACATGGGAATGTTTGTATTTCTATGCTATGATGATTTTAATTCTTTTTTAAAAAATATTTTATTAGTTGTTGGTGGACCTTTATTTTTATGTGGTGCTGAGAATCGAACCCAGTGCCTCACACATGCTAGGCAAGCACTCTACCACTGAGCCAGAACACCAGTCCTGATGACTTTAATTCTTTAAGATAAATATCCAGGAGTGGTATAGCTGAGTTATATGGTAATTCCATTCCTAGTCTTGTGAGGAACCTCTGTACTGAATTGTATAGTGGTTGTACTAATTTATAATCCCACCAACAGTGTAAAAGTGTTCCTTTTACTCTATATTCTCTCCAGCATTTACTGTTGTTTGTATTCCTTTTTTTTTTTTTTTAATTTCTGTGTGTGTGGTGCTGGAGATTGAACCCAGGACCTTGTACATGCAAGGCAAGCACTCTACCAACTGAGCTATATTTTTGAGTTCTTATATATTCTAGTTATTAATCCTCTGTCAGTAACTAGCAGATTTCCTCCCACTCTTTAAGTTCTCTTTTTACATTCTTGTTTCCTTTCTTTTGCAGAAGATTTTAAATTTGATGTCATTTTATTTACTAACTCTTGACATTATTTACTGAACTTTAGGAGTCCTTCTGAGAAAGTTGTTGCCTGTGCCTAAATATTGGAGTACTGACCCTATGTTTTCTTCCAGGAATTGCATAGTTTCTGATCTAATTCCTAGGTCTTTGACCCATTTTGAGTTGATTCTTGTGCAGGGCCCCAGAGCAACATTTATAGTCAGCTTTGTGGTTTCCTCTGAGTGGTGCACAGTGGAATTGATGGGTTGTGTGAAGTAGCCTAACTTACAGAACCCCTTAAGGGTTGTTTTTTGGTTTTGGTTAAGTTTTTGTTTTGTTTTTAGTACCAGTGATCAAACCCATGGTTGGTTAACTACTGAGCTACATTCCTAGCCCTTTTTATTTTGAGACAGAGTCTTGCTAAGTTGCTTAGGGCCTCACTAAGTTGCTCTCAAACTTGTGAATCCTTCTACCTCGGCCTCCTGGGTCGCTGGGATTACAGATGTGCACCAACCTTGCTCAGCTTTGCATGTTAGTTCCTTGAGAAGGAGCAAGACACTACAGAATTTCCACTAACTTCTTGTTTTTCCCAATCAGTTGCTTTTCGACTGTATGATCTGGATAAAGATGACAAGATCTCCCGTGATGAGCTGTTACAGGTATGTGGGAAAACTATGTGACAACTCAGTGTGACAGCTCACATGTGACAAAATACTATGGCTCATACTTAAAGAGTTCAAAATTGTGGGTAATAATGAAATACCTGGGTGGTGGTTCAGCACTGGGTCTTCCATAAGAGTTATAGATCGATACCATGCTAAATGACATTTTGAAAGGTCTGGACTACCTGCAATCAGAAAAGAAAATTCACCAAGACATAAAAGCTGCTAATGCCTTGCTCTCTGAACAAGAGGATAGTAAACTTGCTAAATGAATAAAATAAAGGTCCATCAACAACTAAAAAAAAAAAAAAAAGAATACACACACACACATATATAATTTTTTTTAAAGGCACTAACTAAGGGGTTGAGGTTGTGGCTCCGTGGTTGACCACCTTCCTAGCATGTGTGAGACACTGGGTTTGATTCTCAGAACACATGTAAATAAATAAAATAAAGGTCCATTGACAACTAAAAAAATATTAAAAAGCACTAACTAAATGTTTCCTAAGTGCGGACTGGCAGAGGTGAAATATGTGACATTGTGTACATCAAATAGTTCAGTTATGCAGGGCATGGTAGCGCATGCCTGTAATCCCAGCAGCTCAGGAGGCTGAGGCAGGAGGATCTCAAGTTCAAAGCAAACCTCAGTAATTTAGCAAGGCCCTAAGCAACTTAGCGAGACCTTGTCTCCAAATAAAGTAGAAAAATTGGCTCGGGACATGGCACCCTTAGGCTTAATCCTTGGTACCAAAAAAATAGTTTGGTTATTACCAAAACAGCTTGTTGGCAATCAGATAATTCTGATGATACCTAGTAAATTCTGCTGATTTGTCTGTCCTTAAACTTAGCATAAGAGTTACCAACTCTTGCTTGTGCCAGTGTACCTTGAGCTAATCATTCACTGCCCTTTGTTGTTCCCACAGACAAGTTCCTATTCCTCTACTATCGATTACTAACATTCCATGCTGTTAGCATTGCAATTTATTGTTTTTGCCTTTTATAAATTCAGAAGGGGAGAAAATTACCCCTTGTTTTGAGTCTGAAAGACCATAGGCTAACACATTTAGGGATTTCCATGGGGAAATTTGTCCGTTTCAAGATACACCTAAAAAGTAAATTGTTTCTACTCAGCCCTTAAAGTAAATCTGAATTCATCCATTATCTTGAGAAGACTTCCAAGTTGAAGATTGCTTAAGATCAGCTTAAGACCCATCCACAGTATTCCTACATTTCTACCTGAGCAGAAACCAAAACAACGAGGAGATCATGATAGTGTCCCTTGCTTTTGAGGTGGGAATATATTTCTTTGGTGAGAAGAGTTTACTTTTGTTACATTGCTACACATTGACTTCTGAGTTCTGAAATGTAATGGCACATTTTCATCCTTGAGCCCAAACCTGGTTGCAAGAAAGGTGTTTTTGGAGGAAGAGTTGATTTATTTACTGTTATTGGATAAGAAAGCCTGAAGAGGGGCTGGGGCTGTGGCTCAGTGGCAGAGCGCCTGCCTCGCACATGTGAGGCACTGGGTTCGATCCTCAGCACCACTTTAAAAAAATAAATAAATAAATAAAAAAGAAAGCCTGAAGAGGAAGTAGGGAAGAAACTATGTGGCCAGAGTTCTAGTCATGCTCTTGGATTATTTAGGTTTAGACAACTAGTTTTATCCCAGCAAAAAGAGGATCTGACCATTTTGCTGAAATGAAAGAAGAAAATAAAGTTTATCTTTCTAGACACAGTGATTTCTAAAACATCTGGTAACTTGCAGTTCCTAGATACTTATTGAATGTTAAAAAAGTATGTAGTGAATTTACCCTCAAGAATGGCTGACTTGTCGTTGTCGTCATCGTCCTCCTCCTCCTCCTCCTTCTTCTCCTTCTCCTCCTCCTCCTCCTCTTCCTCCTCCTCCTTTCTTCTCCTTCTCCTTCTTCTCCTCCTCCTCCTCCTTCTTCTTTCTTCTTCTTCTTTCTTCTTTCTTCTTCTTCTTCAGTACCTAGTGGCACTTTACCACTGAGCTACATCCTCAGCCCTTTTCATTTTTATTTTGAGACAGGGTCTTGCTAAGTTGCTAAGGCTGGCTTTGAACTTGAGATCCTCCTGCCTCAGCCTCCAGAGACACTAGAATTCCAAGCATGCCCCTGGCTGGGCATGTGTTCTTAGTATGATTCTTGTAGAATGTCCTGGTTGAACTTTTGGGGGCCAGTTGTATATTAATTATCTTGATTTTTGGTGATGGTGTCAGAGGTGTGTACATGTATACAAAGACTCATTAGCACATTTTAAATATGTACCATTTATATCATTTATACTTCAATAAAGACTCATTTTATGAGGCTAGCATAACTTTGACATGAAAACTTTATAAAGACAGTACAAGGGCTGGGGATGTGGCTCAAGCAGTAGCGCGCTCGCCTGGCATGCGTGGGGCGCTGAGTTCGATCCTCTGCACCACATAAAAATAAAATAAAGATGTTGTGTCCACCTAAAACTAAAAAATAAATATTAAAAATTCCCTCTCTCTCTCTCTCTCTCAAAAAAAAAAAAAAAAGACAGTACAAGAAAAAATTATAGCCCAACCTTTTTTATTCACTTAGATGTAAAAATCCAAAACAATTTTTTTATCACACAGAATCCAGCAATGTTATTATATCCAAAGTAAGTTTGCACTAGGAATTCAGAGTTGATTTAAAATTAGAAAATAGTTATAACCATATGAACAGATTAAAGAAGAGAATCTAATCTAATGGTCTTCTCCATTGAAGAAAGCATTTGATAAAATTCATCACCTATTCATGATTTTTTCAAGTCTTATAAAAGCAGAAATAAAAGGAAGTTTCCTTTCTGTTTTATTTTTTTGTTTTGTTTTTTCCATCATCCCCAAATCCTTCAACCCCAGTATCAAATCCAGTACCATGTGCATGCTAGGCAAATGCTCTACCACCACCTTATATCCCTGGCCCGGGAAGTTTTCTTAAATTGATATAGGGTATATATATAACCCTCCCCAAACATTGATAATAAAAATAGTAAAGTTCTCATTTGCTAATAATCTTCCCACTGGAACAATAAGTGGCAGCCAGGATAGGTGAAAGGAACACTGACTGGCCTATGAGCAGACAGCTCATGCCACTAGTTACTGAGACAGGGGGGTCAAGATACTTCTGAGCCTTATTATCCTCATTACTGAACCAGACATGGTGACCTTTAAAACACACTACTCCTGTCACATCCTGCCTATACATGCAGCACACTAGTACATGCACAATCCAGTTCTACTATTATAAAAGTAAAATACCTTAGAAAATAATTGGTCTGAGATCTGAAGTTTGAGGATGGATTAATTTGCTTGATCTCTTGAAATTGGAGAAGATGGAAAATGGTTTGGCCCAAATAGTCTTTTCTAGCACTGTCCTTTTTTTTTTTTTTTTAATACCTTTATTTTGTTTATTTATTTTTTATGTGGTGCTGAGGATCGAACCCAGTGCATCACATGTGCGAGGCAAGCACTCTACCACTGAGCCACAACCCCAGCCCCATAGCACTGTCCTTTTTTTAATCCTTCAGTTGAGCATTTGTACCTAAATAGTACAACTTCATAATTTTCAAGAATTGATTTGTAGCCATGCAGTGGAGTCCATGAATTGATGACAGCTGAGGCAGGAGGATCACTGAGCCCAGGAAGTTGAGGTCAGCCTGGGCAACATAGTGAAACCCTGTCTACAAAACAAAACAATTAGTTTGAGAAGAAGAAGGAAAAAAAAAAAAAAAAAAAGTGTGCTGGTTCTAATCAGTATTTCGGCTTTTTTTATTTTTTGAAAATTCTGTCATGTACTTCATTTTGGTACGGGACATTGAACCCAGGGGCACTAAGCCACATCCCTAGCACTTTTTTATATTTTATTTAGAGACAAGGTCTCCCTAAGTTGCTTAGGTCTCCCTACTTGCTGAGGCTAGCTTTGAACTCGTGCATAAACCTCCTGCTCAGTTTCCCAAGCTGCTGGGATTACAGGCATGTGCCACTATACCAGATCTGTCCTATACTTTTTTTAAAATATTTTTTTTTAGTTGTTGATGGACCTTTATTTTAATCATTTATTTACATGCAGTACTGAGAATCGAAGCCAGTGCCTCACACATGTGAGGCAAGCGCTCTACCTCTGAACCCCAACCCCAGCCCACTGTCCTATACTTTTAAAAAATCTATTTCATGAGGTTGGAGAAGGATGTAAAAGAATAGGGGAAAGGAAGACCTCTCAACCATTGGGCTAGAGGGGCTTCCTTCCTGTGAAAGAAAAACTCAGCTTTTCCCTTTTGAATGCAGAGGTGGCTGATTGCTGTGATGTGAAGCATCACAAAAGCTCCTTGTCTCCCATTTCACATGAAGCCTCAACCTTTGCATATTGTCTGAATCACATTGTTAAAATTACATATTTTGTTTAAGGTATCAAATTTTTAAATATATTCATACTCTAAAGATGTTAGAAGAATTGTGGGTGGTGGGTTTTTTGTTAAGTTTGAGATACATTTGATGAAACAGTGTTAAATTATCTTTGCTTAGTTCTCATAGCCCTTTAATTGTGCTTGTTATTTTTCTAAGAAAGAATTTAGCATGTACCTCTTCAAGGAGCTTTACATTTCTTGGGCCATACCCCAGGAGTACCTTGCTTAATGTTTAATACATCTCCTCAAAGAGGACAGCATTCAGGTGGGATTCCAGAAAGCCCCACCAAACCAACTGACATGTTTTCCTCTTGCAACAAAAAGTCTGAGAATAGGTTTTCTAGGCTCATTAGTACCTAAATAAAGTCTAAGAAACCTGGCTTCTGCCATAGGCTTGCTGTCACATCCGTAGCACGTGATTCATCTCATAGCTCCAGGATGGCTACTGTACCACCAGACATCATATCTATATTATGGGCAGAAAAAATGAAGATTAGCAAAATGCAAAGGACTCTCCTTCAACAAGGCTTTGCTTTCCTATCTAGTGACCTTGCCAAAGAGTTCTGCTCACATTATTGTCCAAAATGGCCTAGATAACAAGTTAGGGTTTTAGCTTTCTAGCTGTTAAATTTGAGGGTATCAAAGGAAAAAGATAGGGTTTGGGAATTTAGCTCAGTGGCAGAGTGCTTGCCTAGCATGTGCAAAGCTCTGAGTTTAGTTCCTGCCTCTGAAGGAAAAAAGAAAAAAAAAAAAAAAGAGGGGAGTCACTTAGTGATTTTACCTTAAATCTTAGTAAAAGAGTCCCTCTCACTCCCACGTCCCCTATAATTCCTGGCTCTTGGTCTTGTAGGTGCTACGCATGATGGTTGGAGTGAATATCTCAGATGAGCAGCTGGGCAGCATTGCAGACAGGACCATCCAAGAGGCTGACCAGGATGGGGACAGTGCTATATCTTTCACAGAATTTGTTAAGGTCAGTCAATCACCTCTTGATTTGAAAATGTTAAGTTCTGTTACACAGGAGGTCGGGGGGACATTATTTAGAAAAGTGCTTAGAACTGTTAGGATATTTATAACTATAATTGTTCTTTTGGTTTTTTTAACCCCAGGTTTTGGAGAAGGTGGATGTAGAACAGAAAATGAGCATCCGATTTCTTCACTAAAGGACAGAGACCAAACTGTTCCTTGCTTTCTAGTATTTAAGAACTGGAACTTTAGAGTCCTCCTGTCCACCAACCCCACCTCCACCCCTTCATTCTCCTTCTCCCAGAATACTACTGCTGTTGCATGACAACCCCAAATATGTTCTGTGTACACAAAACTGCCTTTGGTGTATAAACAGGGCATTACAGAATGGTACATCCAGTCTATTTCTCTTCAGTATCCATCTACCAGTTCTCCATTTATAAATACCATGTTCCCCTGTTCTGCTGCTCAATGCCACACATCCATCCAGTTTGAGAAAGAGATGGAATCATGCCAAGAACCAGCCAGCAAAACTCTAACTGGATGTAGACTCCCTTCAGCGAGGTTTAGCATGCTCCTACTTCCTTCTTATATGTCCTTTGCTTCTTATTTCCCTGTCACACAACTTACCTCCACTTAGTCTTTCAGCCTCCCTGCTTTTTATTGAGCCTCAAAATTCCCTGTGTTCCTCTTAGCACCCCAAACTATGCCTGTTAAATGTATTTCTGACTAGGCAGGATAGTTCAGTGGTCTGGCAGTTTTTATCTACCTTCACTCTTAAATGAGTACCTAGGATGTTACCTTTCCAGGAGCTTTTTGGTAATCAACACTTCTCTTGGAAGAATGTGACCCTTTCTTGATCCTCTGCACTGCTCTGTCATCAAAGGGTGGAGATATCCTTCTTGGAAACTGGCCTTGGTGAAAACATTTCATAGTTTGTGAAGATATAGAGAAGAAATTGATAACTAAAAAGTGTAGAGCCACCTGTTTTGTGTGGGTTACTCAGATTGCTCTGCCTCTGCCCTCTGATTCTCGACTTATGTACCTACACGGCTTTTCCTATGAGTGCAGTGTTCACTATTCAGAAAATATTCATATGCCTACAGGTCTGCTTAGCTTTGGGACACTGTTGCTACCAGAATAGCTGTTCTGACAGCATTCTTAGGGACCTTTTCATGACTTTTTGAACACGATGGCTGGGCGTCTTATAAAACCTGCTACATTTACATTCTGCAGCATGGTTTATGCCTCCTTGTTAGTGCACTGGAATGTTTTTCACTTCACGTTTCCAAGTGGAAAGACTATTGTTATGGAAGTGCCTAACTTTTCCAAGTCCAGAATAGTTAAAAAGATGGTCCTCAGTGTTTTGAAGTTTTGCACAAAATTATTTATGAACTTTACAATTGGCAAATGTTAATGCTGGAATCCATATTCAATCCCAATACACGTCCAAAGCATTGAATGTATTGTGTCATTAGCTGCCCGGTTGCATTATCTCCATAGCTCCTTGTATAGGCCACCACTGATCCCTTAAAAACAAGGGGTCTGACCCTGGTAAGACAATGTGAGGTGGCATTACAGGACTTTGAGTGAGCCAGAGCAACTTCTCTGCCAAAGTCAGCTTAATTAGACTTCATTGAATCTGGCCATTGCCATCCTATGTATGTCTGTGAGTCTATTCATTTATCTCCCCCTGCCTCATGTTGAATTTATAATCCCCCTGACTCATTGCTTGCTTGCTTGTTTCCTTGCTTCAGAAGGCTATTCAAGATGTGTTAACCAATCTTTAGGAAGAGAATTGCTAACAAATATTACTACAAAGGGATGGATAAAGGTGGGGAACAGGGGAGTGGCCAGGCTTGATGGCTCAAGTATAAATGAATGAGAAATTCTTTAAGAAGTATCAGTTTTGTGATCAAGTGATGTAATATAGGAATAGTAAAAAAGGAAAGAATTGTCTGTTACTGATCGCTAGAGAGGTACTTCAGAGTCTCCTTGATTTGCATTTTTAAAGTTCCTAAGATTATGGCTTCCCCACTCCTTTGGCTGTATAGCAAACTTTTAATCCACAGTTGTGCCTTATTGTCCTATTACGGTTGTATTCTTTGATCCATCAATAAATATTTGTGGTTAAAACAAAACAACTCGATTGATTTTGTCTGTGTTTTTCAAGAATTTTCTGTAATGCAGGCTCCTTCTTTAACACAGGATGTTCCTTACTCAGGTCTATGTCTGAACTATGAATACAAGTGTACTCTGCTGCTACCTGACATGTGAAGTAGAAGTAGAAGAATTCATCTAGGAGCTCACACTGTCTGCCTCTAGGCCCATTTTTTTTAATTTTTTTTTTTTAGTTGTGGATGGATCTTTATTATTTATTTATTTATATGTGGTATTGAGAATCAAACCCAATGCCTCACACATGTTAAGCAAGCGTCTACCACTGAGCTACAACTCCAGCCCATAGGCCTAGTTTTGTTAGTCTTGGCCATTCCCATTTATTCCACTGAAGATTCAGTTTCTTTTCTGGTCTCTCTAAATGCAAGAAGGGAAGCTTATAAATGAGGAGATACTATGAAAAGCCAGATAGTCCTGTACACATTCTAGTATAGATAAAATAATTGTAAGCAGCCTATTAACCTTAAAGGTAATAGGATGTGAGTTTATATGATCTCAAGTCCTCAAGGTCTAAAATGTGCTGGCAATTATAGGCTTTTAGCTTCAGCATAATAGAAATTTACTTAAGTGAAAATCCCAGATAATAACAAAAAGAAAATTAAATGTTACTGTATGTAATTCAGGATATACCTGGATCTTAGTACCACAAAACTATGTGTCCTGCTTGAGCTTAGTGAGTTCTCTTTTCCTCTGTACAGAAGTCGTATCTTTTTCCTTATCACCTTAGAAACAGAAGTTGTTGGTGTGATAACATGGCTCAGAGGCTTAATAATCTAGGAACAGCTTTATGAATGGAAGAGAAAAAGCACTGTCATGATGTTGAATTTTATGAACATTTTCCCATAATTGTCTTTGTCTCAAAGAAAACTTTGAATTTTAGCAAAATGAATGTGCTAACTTTTAAGTGTACTTTGTGCTGTCTCTTCCTGGAAGATGGGGAGGTACAACCACAAACATGAAGTGACATATAATCTGTGCCTGGGTGATCAGGGGCATTTTAAGAAGTTATCATTGAAAAGTCAGAGGGAAATATAGGAAAGAAAGAAAAGCCATAGCAAAGTGTACAAAAGGGGAAAAGGGTAGATTTCAGAAACAGTTTACTCTAATTTACATTATCCCTCAAGAGAATTTTAGAATCATTTCATGGTTTGTGAAGATATAGAGAAGAAATTGATAACTGAGATGCTGACATTTTTTGTTTTGGGATTTTGTTTGTTTGAGCTACTCAGAAGCATTCTACCTTCTGAGTTTCAGCCTAAGCATCCCACCACACACACATTTTTTTTTTCTTTTTTTAATCTTTGAGACAAGGTCTTGCCAAGACTGGCCTCAACTTGAGATCCTCCTGCTTTAGCCTCTTGAGTCACCATCATACACGGCAAGATTCTAATGTATATTTTGGTTTTTTTGTTTGTTTGTTTGTTTTTGGTTTTTGGTACTAGGGATTGAATCCAGGGATGCTTTACCACTCAGTCACATCCCCAGCCCTTTTAATATTTTTATTTTGAGACAGGGCCTTGCTAAATTGCTAAGGCTGGTGTTGAATTTATGATCCCCCTGCCTCAGCCTCTTCAGTCACTGGGATTACTGGTGTGCACCACCATGCCCAGTGAGATGTGAATGTTTTGACAAATAAATAAGTATGCCAAATTACTTTCCCTTTCATATATTTCAAAGACTTTTTAAATTTGTGTGTAAGATCAGTGATATAGGTACTGCATTGCTGACATCAGTAAAACATGGCTGGGTCTCATTGAATTCATGTGGTTAAAATGGAAGAAATTGGATTGGATTGTAGTTGATGTCTATTAAAATGATACTTGAATAACTATACACCAAGAATCTAGAAGATTAAACAGTCTTGAAAAAGGAGCAGCCGGGCATGGTGGCACATGTCTAATCCCAGCGGCTTGGGAGGCTGAGGCACGAGGATCACGAGTTCAAAGCCAGCCTCAGCAAAAGCGAGGTGCTAAGCAACTCAGTGAGACCCTGATTCTAAATAAAATACAAAAATAGGGCTGGGGATGTGGCTCAGTGGTCAAGTGCCCCTGAGTTCAATACCCAATTAAAAAAAATTTTTTTAAAGGAACAAATTTAGAGGAATCACAATCCCTCACTTTGTTTTTGTCATACCAGGACCTATTCCTGCTGGGCAAGCACTCTGCCATTGAGCTACCTTCCTTTTTTTTTTTTTTTTTTTTTGGTAAATAACAAGGATGGAACCCAGGGATGCTTAATCACTGAGCCACATCTCCAGTCTTTTTTATGTTTTATTATTTTTTTTCTTATTTTTTGAGTACTGGGGATTGAGCTCAGGGGCACTCAACCACTGAACCACATCCCAGTTCTATTTTATATTTTACTTAGAGACAGGGTCTCACTGAGTTGCTTAGTGCCTCACCGTTGCTGAAGCTGGCTTTGAACTCGTGATCCTCCTGTCTGCTGGAATTACAGGTGTGGGCTGCCTAGACTTTGAAGAGGACAAATGCATATTATTCTAATTAGCCTTTAAAAAGATAGCAAGTAAGACACACCTGTGTATTTTAAGATATCACAAATTTCAAATTCACCACTTTTTTTTTTTTTTTTTTTTTTTGGTGGTACTGGGGATTGAACTCAGGGGGGTGCTCTACTACTGAGTTATATAACCAGCACTTTTTATTTTACTTTGAGATAGTATCTCACTATGTTGTTCAAGCTGGCCTTATACTTGTAATCCTCCTATCTCCATCTCCCAAATTACCAGGATTACAGTTGTGCACCACCACACCTGGCTACTTGTTTTTGTGGTACTGAGGATTGAACCAGGGTCTTGCTCATACCAGGCAAGCATTCTACCACTAAGCTACATCTCCAGCCTTGCCATTACCTTTTAATTAAAGAACAAGCAGGGCATAGCCATGGCGATACATGTCTGTAATTTCCGTGGTTAAGTGCCCCTGGATTCAATCCCCACTACCAAAAAATAAATTTAAAAAATTAAAGAAGGATACTGTCAAAATGTGTTTCTAAGAAGCAAAATGGTAAAGGGATTCAGGGCAACTCAGGTTGGGCAGTGGTGAGAACCAGGACTTTAACCCTAAAAAAGCCACACTAGCTATATTCAAATTGTTAAGAATCTGTTTTCAAAAGGCTCTCTTACTTTTTAGAGGACATAATAGGGTAGTTTAATATATAATTCAGCAATGTGTAGGTGGGTCAAATCCTGGTTTTGCCACTTAAGCAGTTATATGAACTTAGACAATTCATATAACCTTCCTATATCCTTTTCCTCCATAATAAAATAAGGTTTATAAGGATGATGATAATGATACCAACCTCATGGGTTGCTGTGAGGATTAAATTGGTGCCTGCTATAAGTATTATATATAAAATTTAATTGAATTTAATGGTGGATAGAAATAAAAGGGTGACAGATTTTAGTTTATTCTAAGGAAGAAGTTCCTAATAACTAGAACTATTCAAATTAGGAACAATATCCCCAAAATTAGATCTTGATAGAAATGCTTAAAGAATGTCTTTTTTTTTTTTTTAATTGCAGTATTGGGGATCAAAACCAGGGCCTTGTATATGGTAGGCAAGTGCTTTATCACTAAGCTATATCTGCAGCCTCTCCAGCCCCCCGCAATTTGGGCTGGGGATATGGCTCAAGCGGTAGCGGTAGCGCGCTCGCCTGGCATGCGTGCGGCCCAGGTTCGATCCTCAGCACCACATACAAACAAAGATGTTGTGTCTGCGGAAAACTAAAGATACAAAGAAAGATATTGTGTTCACCGAAAACTAAAAAATAAAATATTAAAATTCTCTCTGTCTCTCTCTTAAAAAAAAAAGTATGTCTTAGTAGTAATAATATTTTACAAAAATGGGAGCTGATAAACAAGTTTGTTTTTCTTTTAGGAACACACAATTTCTAAACATGAAATGAGGTGGTTTTTAGAAGGAAATGAATGAGATGTAGTCTGTATTGTCAGAGTTGACATCATATATTTTGCATTTGGTTCTTTTCTAGTTGTCTGCACCCAAGGAAGAAAAAACACCTGTGTCTGGAATTTATTTTGAAAATATTTTACAATTAATGTTGCAATGACTAATCAGAAAAAAAAAAAAAAAGGTTAAAGCAGGGTCCTGGAGATCCTTTGCTTTGCTGGGCTGTAACCCTTCAGTTGCTGGATAAAGGGCAGATGTGGGAGGATCCTGAGTGTGTGAAGCAATAAAGAGGACATGGGCTTGGGACAGTGGCTATCTTGAGCAATCATGGAGATATTTTAATAAACTGATTTTATTATCAATCAGTTCTTTCAGTATCCTCTATTGAAGAGAACTATCCTTTCCCCTAAGTATTATCTTAGTTGAAAATTAACAGTTTCTTTCTGGGCTCTCAGTTCTGTTCCATTGACTTATTTGCCTATCCTTATGACCGTACTAAATCATCTTGATTACTATAGCTTTTGTAGTCATTTTTGAAACTAGGAAGTGAATTCCTCCAACTTTGTTCTTTTTCAAAAGTGGCTGTCCTGAGCAAGGAGTGGTAGCACAGGCCTCTAGTCTCAGCTCACTGGAAGCTGAGACAGGGGGATCCTAAATTTAAGGCCAGCCTGGTGAAATGGAGATCCTGCCTCAAAATAAAATTTTTAAAAAGGATGAGGAGTAAGGGCTGGGGCTGGGGCTCAGCGGTAGTGCACTTGCCTGGCATGTGTGAAGCTCCGGGTTTGCATCCCGAGCCCTATTTTGTATTTTATTTAGAGACAGGGTCTCAGAGTTGCTTAGTACCTTGCTTTTACTGAGGCTGGCTTTGAAGTCGCCATTCTCCTGTCTCAGCCTCTGGTAAACACAAATACAGTTGGCTTTCTTATACTGATTTGTATGCTGGGACCGTGACAAACATACAAGTTTTGGTTTTTGTGGATTCCTTATTATTTTCTACAAAGGATCATTCCATCTCTGAATAAAGGCAGTTTTATTTCTCCCAATCAGGATGTCTTATGTTTCTCTACCTTTATTTATTCCTACTGGCTACCCCCTCTACTACAAAGTTGAACAGAATAAGTTGAATAGAAACGGTGGGAGTCCATGTCCTTGCTGTGTTCCTGATCTTTTATTTTTTTAATTTTAATTTTTTTGTTTTTAAAATTATTTTGTAGTTGTAAACAGAATGCTCCTATTTTATGTTTATTTTTATGCGGTGCCAAGGATCAAACCCAGTGCCTCACACATGCTAGGCAAGCGATCTGCCACTGAGCAGCAGCCCCAGCCCCATGTGTTCCTAATCTAAAGACAACATATAAGCTGGGAACAATTGCCAACATTTAGGCTTTTTAAGAATGCAACTGGATCGGTGGCACAACTCCTATAATCCGAGCAACTCGGGAGGCTGAGGCAGGAATCGTAAATCAAGGCCAACCTCAGCAATTTAGCAAGGTCCTAAACAATTTAACGAGATCCTGCCTCTAAATAAATAAATAGATAAATAAATAAATAAATAAATGGGGCTGGGAATGTGGCTCGGTGGTTGAACCCCTCTGGGTTCAATCCCTGGTCAAAAAAAAAAAAAAAGTGTAACTGGATCAAAGCCAGAGACCAAGTGGAACCATTGTTTCCCTAAGTGTTGTGTTAACGCCTAGAATTAATAAACTTGGGATCTGAGAATGAAATCATTAGTACTATAGTTTAACCTAACAGTAGCTTAAAATAGTCACACCTTTAATCACACTATCTCAGTAAGATGTGTCACTGCTTCTTCGCGGAAATAATTTTACATTCCTAAAAAATGAATTACAAAGGCGTTTTCCCCAATTACCTCAATCCAATGACCTAATCTATCAAAAAAAAAAAAGATCGAATGAGGGAAGAACGCTATTGATTGACGTGCATTTCAGCCAACCTGTGGCGGAAGACTAACGCGCGCGCGAGAAAGCAAGCCGTTGTCCAATCAATACTCAGGAGGGGGCGGGGATTGTGGGAGCCGCCCGTCGCTGGGTTGGCAGACGTGAGAAGAAGCGAAGATGGCGGAGTGAGGAGCGCCTCGGCCATTTGGCCGTTTGGCCTCTGGGCCGGGGGCGTGCAGGCCCCCGGGAAGCCGACTGCGTCTGATGGACCATGTGAGGTGAGCCGAGAAGGGAGACTACGAGGGGACAAGGAGGCTGTGTCTTGCCCAGCCGTCCGGGCACCGTGTGTGCGGGAGCCTGCTGGTAACAGAGCCCTTCCAAGCTGGAATTGCCATCCTTGGCCGCCCCAGGGCAATCCACACCGCCGTCCCGGTGTGTCCCTCAGTCTACTTGTTCAAGCCTCCTCCCGGCTCCCCGCCCTTCCCTGTGCCTTGCCTTTGCCTGCCATTGTGTTTCGGTTTGTTCCTAGGGGATTTCACACATACTGGGCTTTCGTGGCAGCCGATTGTCGGTCACCGATTTTTTTTTTTTAAAGAATTTCTTTGTTTTATTGATTTATTTTCATCTTTCGTCTCACGACTTGGTGCCCACGCTGTTGTCTAAGGCTCCAGTGTCATTTGAGGCCTTTTGTGGCCCTGAGTATTTTTTTTCTCCAGCCCGTTGACCTTGAGATTTCGTGTAACAGGTTACCCCTGGATTTTCATTAGCGTTTGTGTATCTCAGACATCCCCTCGAACCTATAGTATATCCAATCGCTTCTGCTCCTACCTCCCAAACTTTTATGATCCCGAGAAAACAGCTTTGTCCTTGTCCTCGAAAGTCTTATAATGGCTGTATGACGCTTTAATTTCGGCTGAAGCTAGGTCACAGTGGTATTCACTGTTGATTTCTGATCCAAAAGTAAGGGAGTGAGTTTACAGAGCTTTTTTAAACAAAGAGAAATAGTTTGGACAATGTTATTAGAAAGTAATTTGTGTAAGGTGTTCAGGTTGCATAGCATCAGTACTGTCAGACATTTGTATTCTTTTCCTTTTTAACTCTATGGGGTATCTATTCCTAATTTGGAGTGTTATAACCCCTGTTGGATCTTATTTAAATTCCATGCGTTTCTGCTAATGGGTTTCTGAATTGGTAAGGCCTTATTAAAACTGTGACAGGTTAGTTGACTCGAGTTCAAATGGAAATATTAATACAAATGAATGTTTTTTATAGATTATGTGCTCTTTGCTGGTCCTGGATTTAGGAGAGCTGAAAATAGCGTAAAGAAGCACTTCTAATTGAGACTTTTTTGTTGCTTTTGTCCGTTTTTTCATTTCATCCAAGAGAAGGAAAAAAGAGCTGGCCAGAAGAAAATAATGTAACATTCTTACAGAGGAGAGTGTATGTATACTAAAGCAAAGGTTTTAAGTAGATGACTATAAACTACTGGAAATATTATGCACCATTATACATTTTCCGGGGAGGAACAAAGTTTGATAGTCTCATCAGGAAAAGAGGAAAGTGTTTCATAAATCTACCACTTCAAGAGTTTTGACATCTTTTGAAAGTAGGTGCCAGTGCAGTAGAGAGTAACTTTTTGCTAATTGTTTCTTCTGAATTGTTTGTATTAGTGATTTTTTAAAATATTTATTTTTTAGTTGTAGTTGGACACAATATCTTCATTATTTAGTGCGGTCTGGAGGATCGAACCCAGGGCCTCGCACATGCTAGGCTCTGCTGCTGAGCCACAATCCCAGCCCCTGTATTAGTGAGTTTTTTACAGTAGTACATATAGCACCAGTGATGGCTATATCCTTACCTAAATGTTATTTTTATTTTTCAGAATTCTTGTCACACAGGATGAACACTTTCCTTACATTTAGGTGCTTTTTATTCATCTCAAAACAAAATTCTGAACTCAGGATGTGGCCGGTAAGTAGCAGTAGGCTAATCATTTCAAATAATATTTAAGCAGCAACAAAAGGTGAATATTAAATTGACTATAAATTATTGATAGCTGAGTACTTTATTTACATATATGTATCCTTGTTTTTTAAAAAGACAGGGTCTTGCTATGTTGCCCTCCTGGCCCTAAACTCATGGACTCAAATGATTCTCCTGCCTCAGCCTCCCTAGTAGCTGGGACTATAGACTACCACTACTCCTGGCGCATATTCTGTATTTTAACAGAAGCAATGTAAAAAATTTAAAAAGGAAAAATTTTATCAGTTACCTAACCTATGATTTTTCATTGGCTATCAGAAACATAGGTTTAATTAGATGGAAGGAAATGAACTGATTAAAAAATAAATATTACTATGCAAGTTTTAGAATGTATTCACTTAGATTTCATTGTTATTTTTTTCAAAGTACTGGCTATCAAAACCATGCCTTGCCCATGCTAGGCAAGCTCTCTACCACTGAGCTACTTCCCCAGCCCTAGGTCTTTTTTTTTTTTTTTAAAGAGAGAGTGAGAGAGATAGAGGTAGAGAGAGAGAGAATTTTTTAATATTTATTTTTTTAGTATTTGGCGGACACAACATCTTTGTTTGTATGTGGTGCTGAGGATCGAACCCGGGCCACACGCATGCCAGGCGAGCGCGCTACCGCTTGAGCCACATCCCAGCCCCCTAGGTCTTTTTTAATGTTGATGTTTATAGCTGTACATTTCCCTCTTAGTGTTACTTTCACTATATACATAAATTTTGTTTTTGCTTTTATATATGGGAGCTTGCATCCAGAAGCACTTTACCGATGAGCCACATCCCCCAGCCCTCTGTATTTTGTGACAGGGTTTGCTAAGTTGCTTAGGGCCTCAATAAGTTTCTGAGGCTGGTCTTGACCTTGTGATCTTCCTGCCTTAGCCTCCCAAGTTGCTGGGATTATAGGTGTCCGTAAATATGCTCAGCTCTGAAAATTTTTAGTATTTTTTTTTCTCATTTATCTCAAGATATTTTCTAATTTCTGATTTTTTTCTTTCACCCATTGATTATTTAGATAGAGTTTACTTTCCATTGGCTCACTGATTTTAAATTCTGAGAATTTAAGGTTCCCAGGACAAAGCCAGTTAAATTCTTTATCATAAGAAAATGTCCAACCCTGAGCAACTTAGTGAGACCCCTGTCTCAAAATAGAAAATAAAAAGGGCTGGGGATGTAATTAAGTACCTCTTGATTCAATCCCCAGTTTAAAAAAAAAGACAATATTGAATTTGGTGTGATGGTTGGGCATTTTCTTATAAAGTATAATCCAAAGTATTAGTTTTTTTATGTATATTTTAAATATTGTTTTAAAAAATAAGCTCATGTAGAAGAAGTACCTGTCCTAATCTTTCTATTTTTAATTTATTTTGTATTTCTAGGTATTTCTATGTTGTCTTCTAGAGCGGGTAGTCCTGCTTCTTTTATCCAGCCTCTTTCCCTACTGAAATATGGATACCTTTCTACACATTACCTCCATGGTTTAGATTGGAAAAGATTGCTTTTCTTTTGTTCCACCTTTGAAATTCAACACAGAAAGAAGCCCTTAGGGTGCAGTTATCCTGCTGACTTCTCCCGGAAGAAAAAAAGCAATTGATGGGTCTTCTGCAATTTGCTTAATTATCAAAAAATTATTTTGCAAGCTGAAGGCTGACGTTTAATTTGAAACAGGTGCTTAGGTTGTGGTATTTGTGAATTCTTAGCCTTTTGCTCCAAACAAGAAGACTAATAAATGGCAAGTTTGGATGACTTCAGGTTTTTTAAAAAAATGTCTTCCAGTTTCGGCCACTATTATGATAAGCACATTTGAGACTGCAGCAGTAAATTCCAAATATTTGTTGTAATTTGAAAAGAAAAAGATGTTAAAAAGTTACATATATCTCTATATCCTGGTTCATCTTGTGACAGATTTACTGGATAGAAATGAAGGTCCAGTTTTGCAGTTAACCCTTTGGTATGATAAAGAAGCATAAAGACAAGATATCAAGATTGATTTCATATCTGATACCTAAAGAGAATCTGTACAAATACATATTTTTACATGTGTAAATCCACATTTTTGGATGAAAGGAGGGGTTTTTCTCCTGGAGACAGAACCTGTTATTTACTTTTTCAAGTCTTGGAACATTTGCTCTTTTTAAATTTTTTCATTCTTCTACAGAAGGACCAGATTGTGTAGCAGCTAAGTGAGTGCATGCTTACATTTAGTTAAAAGAATGGTAAAAGCGAACAACCCAGTTTGAGTCCATGATGGAACCCTGTTCACCTTCCTAAGATGAGAGGCTGCTGTATTACAGTTTTATTCATCCTGTTTTCTGGAGTCATATAGCACAGTAGAGTTAGTTTTCCGTGTGGCCAAAACTGGAAGAAAAGTAGCACGAGTAGTTTTTTAGATAAGAAGGTGAGATGGACCCTATAGTATGACCTGCTTTGAACTTTGGACATAGAAGAGAAGAAAAAGATAATGAGAAGTTTCCATATAACTCCTTTTTCCTAAGAAAAAGAAAAATGTCTTATGTAGCACCATTTGACTTTTTTGGAATTTTACATTACATAGTTCCATTTTTTATAAAGTCACAAGTAACTCTTTTCTCAACCCAGATGGGTACTTGGATTTATTTTTCTAGGTGGTAGGTGTAATGTTAAACTGAAAAAGCTGGGACTCAGGTAAATTTCCCCAGTTGGAATTGGACTTTCTCGTTACCGAGTGGGTCTATCTCAGAACCAATGTTGTCAATCCACTGGTTGTTTCATTGTAGATTTAGAAGAAATTCAGGATCTGAAAAAAAAACCTCAAATAAGAAAAATAGTTCCACTAAGAAATGTGGATTTTGTGTTTCGTTCATTATAGATTGAGAAGAAATTCAGGGTTTGGGGAAAAAGAAAACAAAAACAAGAAATATGGATCTTCCTTCTTTTTTTCCCCTTTAACAGTTATATGATGAAGACTAGAGTGGAAAACTGTTCTTGCTTTCAAACAAACAGGAGCATTGTATGATATCAAGCCTTTCATAAGAAGCATGGACACTTTATTAATGATTCTTAGTAGAGAAAGAATTTTAAACTTACTAGATGAAATTAAGAACAGGTAGTATAATTAGATCATCTTTGTTTTCTGGAATGGTTGCTGAGGGCCATGGGTGCGATGATGTTGGGAACACAGGGCAGATTTACCAAAAATTGAGAGTGATAGAAATTGCCAAAATGGGAAATGTTGAGCATTGTTATGATTAGATTGGTGAACTAATTTGATTTAGAATAAAAAAGCTTTTTCACAAAATACATAGTGTAGATAAAATATATATATATAATTTTTAAAAAATTTCTTTTAATGTAGAGCATTTACTGAGAGAGATAAGAGAAATAACTTTGGTTAAAGGTAACTTAGATTTTTCTTTAAATAACCCCTTATGCCACTTCTTGATATTTTCCTTTACTATTTTGGACTTGTTAAAGACTGAAAGCCTATATACATATATCCCACTGTTATGTTGGGAATGTCATCATGGAGAATTTGTACCTTCTAGGTGTCATATCCATCTCCCCCATGTCTTCTTGGCAACTTTTTGGGTAGGGTCATGGGGCAAGGGATATAAGCACCAGTGGAACAACTCTGATCCACTTGTTTGAACAGGTGTCAGACCTGCCTCCTTCAGCATTTTTTCAACTTATAACTGAGAACCAGTGTTAATGATATCTTTCAAAGGAAATGTTTCCACATCTTACATGATTGACATTAGATGACGTTTAACAACATGGGCATATTCCAGTTGTAGTTGCCCAGTATTTACTTAATACATTTGCATTTTTCTCTGGTCTGTTGGTCCCTTTCTTGATGGCAAAAACTTAATTTTAGAAATGCTTCAATCTGCATTTGTGCTTCCTTTGCTTTGCTCATCCATGTTAGCTGGCAGTTTATCCTTTGAAAAGTCAAACAAAAACGGGATATGTGCAATAGAAATATATATATGTATATTTTAATACTTGTGGACAAATGTTACAAGTTGTTTAAGAACAACAAAATCACCAATGTCTTCCATTTTGAGATGTGTATAGTTTTGTAAGCATTAGTGCTTGGTAGCATATTATAGTGCCATGTTAGGGGTTAGTGCATGATCCTAGTAATAATTTTAAACTTCAGGATGAGTTATTGATAATAACCAATAGTGTAAAAAGAGTTGAAACTCTATATAAGACTTTTTTTTTCTTCCCATAAATACCTGAATCTGTGATATTCTCCCTGGGGAAAGGAGATTAAGGACAAATACAATTGTTTATGAATAGAAATGTGGGTTCACCATTAGAAACATCGTATTTGAGGACATAAATGCTTTCCATGAGCTAGCTAGAAACAGCTAGCCTTGTATCTCACAAAACCTCAAGTCAAAATGAGGCCCCATTTTCATGATTCTGTGTTGCTGTTAATTTGAGGTCAATTTGCTCTTATACTGTTTTCATATTATGTCTTGGGTTCATTCTTACTCCTTTTACATCTACAAATAGTTTTACATTCTGCATGTCCTACTAAGATGCTGTAATTGCTTCATTGAGTGCTTATATAATCTGCAGACTATTTGCTAATCCTGTCAGCAGCATGTGTGTTAATGCAAGAATAATATCAATGGTTTGGGAGTGTCCTAGATTGTTTCAGCCTCTTCTATTTCTGAATCTGCTAAATTGTGTACTGATGGGATTCCAGACCTTTTCATGAGCATTGGAAACATAGTTAAATGGAGCTTACCTACGTTGCCATATAATAATAAGTGGACTCTTGCCCTTGGTTACAGTAAGCCACAGATAACTTTCCCTTTTTTCTGTTTTCCCTTATAGAAATAAAACAGTCATTTTTGTTTTGAAAGCAAAAGATAGTTTTTTGTAAAAAGAAATTCCTACCTCTAATCGTCGTCTTGAGAACTGGGAATTGTTAGTTTTCTGAAGCGTTTTTCAAATCTCAATACTAAGAGTCCACGATTTATTAGCACAGATTCTACATTAGAAAGCTAGGAAATGCAAAACTGTTCTAATGTGGTGCATCCTCATGAACAAGCAATCTATAATAAGTAGATTTTAGTAGTAAATCTCTGGAGGACCCAGGTTTAGATCCCTATAGTGTACTTAAAGTTTTGTGCCTGGGAAGATCCATTTCTGAAAAGAATTTAAAACTCTGAAAAAGGTAAAGAATATAAAACAGCACAGTGTATAGGAAAGGAAATTTCTGTTGCAAAAATTTTTAAAAAGCCATAAAATGAACTAATAATTTTCAAGAGGTAGACTTTTAGCAGCAATAACGGTTTTGCATGTATAATACACTGCATTTGCTGTACAGTAGACTAAGTGATTACTACTTGAGTTTGTGGGGCTCTGTGATCAACAGAGTTAACAAAATGAAAAAGATGATCTAGGTACAGAGCATATAAAAGGTACTTTCTTTTAATTAAAACAGTATGAATGTATGACTATATCTGTATGAGAAATAACTTTTGTGTATGTTTCAAGGTTAAAGACCCTATTTGTTTCTTAAAGCAGAGGGTTGGAGTTATTGAAGTGAAATCCTTCTAGTGTTTAATATGGAAACAAATGCACTCTACAGCCCCAGTGAAGTCAAGGTGGGGTTTTTGCTTTGGGTTTTCCATGTTAAAATAGGTATTCACTGTATAGAATGGTATTCTCTTCTGCTTTGTCACCTTTCTCTTTTGGCTTCCTGGGTACATTTTTAAAGAGGAAAAGTGTGTGTGTGTGTGTGTGAGAGAGAGAGATTAGAGTTTAAAAAATTTTTTAAAAGCCAAGAACTTGTTTAGCTTGCTTTTCCTCATGTTTATGATTAAGGAAGTTATGATTTAAAGGTAAGAAGCAGGAGGACTGGGGAATAGCCAAAGACTATTGGTTTTGTGATACCTTGTTTAATGCAGTTGTGACAATGCCTGTGGCCTTTGACTACTTCTTTTAAGGAGAACCTAGCAAACTACTTTCCTGATCTGAGGAATTGCACAACTCACTTCAGGATGTAACAGTGAAACTAGGGTGACTTCTTACTTACTTTACCTCATGTCCAAGCTTGGCCATTTAGCACCTTGAAGGTCCCTGAAAAGGTCTGTGTACCTTTGTTTTCCTGGGGCAGGGGGACTAAAAGATAAGCATTATAGATTTCGGAATCACTTGAATCTTTAATTCTTATATGGCAACTCCAATGGACAAGGAAGGGCTATATTGATTGTAGCTTCTCTTTAAATGTCCTATACTGTCAGTCCATGTTAGACATTGGAACAGTCAAGCAATATTCAGACATCTGCATGATCATGAGGACATGGCTACTAATTACATTGATGTCAACACTTATTTCAAACAGTTACAAGATTATCCTTAACAACCATGTTGTTAATAGTTCTAACTGCTAAAGTATGCTACAAGTTTTTGTAGTCTCAAAGTATGTGGTTAAATGCTTTTCAAAGTTATTGTAGTCTCATGTTTACTCCTATGTACCTGTCATATGCAAAATATGAAGAGACCCTTGGCCTTCAGGAGTTTACATTCTCATGGTGCTGTTGGTGCAAGCAAATTGCTTCTAGTTTTTTCAGAACATTGCTTGGCTATTAATTATACAATTTGGAAGAATCCCTTGGCTAATAGTTTTTAAAAGCAGAGGGCTATGCTAAATTTCAGGGCACTGATGCTTGAGTTTACATTGTATTAGCTCTGCCCTTCAACTACTTTTCCCCAGGGAGCTGTACAGGTAATGCTCATTAATGTGAATCAGAAAAGAAACTATTCTGCCCAAGAGCTTCTTCATCATCCCATATATTACATGTTTTTCTATGATATGGCTGTCAATAAATGGCCAAGAAAACTTACTGCTACATAAGACTGTGCATCTCTTAATTCTCTTTTCTTTATCTAAGGGTTTTACATGGTTCTTTATCCAAAAGGGCCAGGATTTACATATAAGCCTTTTATAACTGAAGTGGTCCTAATTTTAAACTTTTTGTGTATGCTTAGACTTCTTTTTTGAAGTAGCATTGTGAAGATTTGGAGCACCTGCTTGCATTTCTAAGCAATTACTTTATTAACTCAAATTTTCAGTTGAAATTTTGCATGTCTCCTTGTTATTTTCCATAATTCTTCTGAATCAAGGGTTTTACTCTGCATGTTTATTAAAGCTGGGTCTGATTGAAAGTATAAGCAATAGTGGTGGGTCCATACTGATTTTAGAATACTAATATTCTAATGCATGACTGAAATTTTTCAGTGTTATGTGGTTATTATTAGTAATTTTATATATGCATTTAATAATGAAGCAATAGATACTTAAACCAATAGCTTGAATTTATTGAATTATTAGTTTTAATTTTCTAATTAAAATTATCTTACTTCCATTCAAAATGGGAAGTCAAAGATAAACAGGGGCACCCACAAGACATTCAAACAGTCAGGATTAGGACATAACATTGCCTACCCTCACCTCTTTCCTAGTCCCAATAGACCCCCCCAAGCATGTTTGAAAACAAGACACAAACTAAGCATGTTGAATGAGCCGCAGTGGCTATAATAATCAGAAAGGTGCAGAGTTTCAGAAAGGATAGCAACGTAGGGAATTAGTGTGCAGTCTAAAGGTATGGGGTTTGTCTGATAAGGTTTATGTAGACCTGTTTGGGGTTTCTTAAAACTAGTTATTGAGTCAGGCATGGTGGCACGCCCCTGTAATCCCAGCAGCTCAGGAGGCTGAGGCAGGAGGATCACAAATTCAATTTCAGACTCAACAATTTGACTAGACCCTATCAAAAAAATAAAAAGGGCTGGGGATGTGGTAAAGTGCCTCTGGGTTCAATCTCCAGTATTCACCCCTCCTGGGAGGGGAGAAAAACTAGTATCTTGAGCCAAGTGTTGTGGCACATACCTGACTTCCAACTACTTAGGAGACTAAGGGGAGGAAATTACTTGAGCTCGGGATTTTGAGGCCCACGTGGGCACCATAGTGAAATCACATCACAAAAAGTAATATACGCATATTTTAGATGTTTTAAGCAACTGTTCTGGATGATACTGATCAGCTATAAGGGATCCTGCAAGGGAGACATTCATCTATAAAGTTATGAAATTGCTGATATGTAGTTTCTTTCTTGTTACTGTATTCAAAACTTTTTTATTAATAATCAGAGTTTTATGCCTGACTTGGTGAGAATGCAGTTTCTTCCCTAAGAGTTTTTGATCCCAGGTACACAGGTGAAAACTTTTCTCTTTAAAAAATAATGATAATCTTGACATTTATTTTATGAAAAAACATCA